TTTAGAATAATAATAATAATAATAATAATAATAATAATAATAATGGCTCTTTTCCGTAAAAAAAGTAAAAAAAGAAAAAAAAAGAGTGAAGTTCTACAATTATTCATTACAAATGATCCATTATTTATTTAATTATCTATTTTCCTAGTACTATTACTTCCTTTCAGAACCTTCCAAACTCACTCAGGAGAGGCAAAGCCATCGCCCTCGGTCTAGAAACTTCCATGGCAAGACCATCGGCTTTAGATTTCCCCCTCTTCGCTGCGTGCCTTCCTCCTCCGCGGTTTCCAAGCATCTCCGACGCCGCAGACATCTCGCCCTTCTGGATTTTGGATCCGCTAGTAAAGAGCAGTTCATCCTGGATTCTAACTCTTTCTTCCTCGCAGTTCTCTCTCGCTTCGATCGTATCATCTATCGGTTCGTTTTTGTGCTCCAAAAGATGCTTTCTTTTGTTTGCTTTCGCGATCTAAGCCTTTGAAATCCTGTGTTGTTGATGTTTCCGGAAGAGACCGGACTGTTGTTTGATCAGTAGCGCATCTTTTTTATCCTCGAGAAATCGCATCTTTGCTGCTCCATCCGTCAATACCAACTGCTGTTGCTATCCATCTGATTGTTCTACTATTTTCCACTCTCCTCGCATCGAGACCTCGGATTTCTCTTGTAATCCCCTTTTCAAGTAGTAATAGTTGTCGATGTTGTTCCTTTGTTCAGTATTAGGGTTCCGTTAATTTAGTGGAGCGTAGTCCTGTCTTATGTAAAATCTCTTCCTCTGTACATATTTTTGTTGGTTTCCGTTCGCTTTATCCTTCAATCTTCCTCCCGTTTCGTAGATCAAAATTGCTACTTTGTTTTCTATCACCGAGGGTCGGTTAAGAACTGTTGATTTCCTGTCTAATTCGAGAGTTCTGTTGAAATCCTTACCTTGAGTAGGAAGTTTGACTTTATCTGCCTCAAATTTCGTCATGAATCCGGTGAAAGAGGAATACCAGGATTACTCGGAGGTATCTTCTGGCTCCAATGAGATCGTGGTCGATCCTCCGAGACCATTGGAGGGGCTCCATGAAGCCGGGCCACCGCCTTTTCTAACCAAGACATACGACATGGTGGATGACCCGAGCACGAACCAGGTGGTCTCGTGGAGTCAGACGAACAACAGCTTCGTGGTCTGGGACCCGCATGCCTTCGCCATGACGTTGCTGCCCAAATACTTCAAGCACAACAACTTCTCCAGCTTCGTCAGGCAGCTAAATACCTATGTAAGTACTTGCAATGCAGTTACCCTTTTCCTAAGCCTTCTTGGAGAGGGTTGGTGGATGCTTCTGATGTTGTGTAGTCTGTCACTTCTGTTGCTAATTCAGCAAGAATAGATGATTTTTCATCTAGTATGTATCTTTTCCTCCATAGTAGTTATTGTTTTTTTCCATTGTTATTGATTGAGTTGAAAAGAGAGTAGATTTTCGTTGAAATGAAGATTAACTGATACAGGGAAGTTATTGTAGTTGAACAAGTTGATTAAATGGAATGCCTTTTCTCCTTCTTCTGTGATTAAGCATTGTATGTTAATAATAGAGAGAGACAGTGCATGCTCATTCCTAAAGTTCAGTTGGGGCCTTGCCACCTTTTTTTCAGAAGTTAAAAGGAAAAAACACTCTGGTATTGTATGCACAGCAGAACAAATATGCTTAGAGGAAAGAGAAGAACAAAAATGTAAAAGAGAAAATTAAAAATTTTCTTTTAGATGAATAGAAAAAAATCAACTTGCAAACAAAACTAGATGATGTCAAGATAAGTTTTCTTGCTTCTTTTGTCATTGCCATTTTAATCCATGTGAAAGTATATTGTTGTTGTCATTTATCCTAAAGGCTATTGGTAGTGCTACTACTAAAATTTGGTTATCATTTTCTGAGGAGTTTACTAAACATGATAACTGAACTAAGCACCAATAGGGAATCCTTAATTGAAGGAATGAATCAGTGCATCTACGTTCGAAGTGCATCATCTAAACTTCAGGTGTTTAGATTTTAAATCACCTTTTGCTTTTCAAAGAAAGCATGCACCATTTTACCCTTGTATTAGGATAATATCAACGGGAAATCATTAACTTCATGACAAAACTTTGCAAATTAAAGGCAAATATTTTTTATCAGCAACAAAACCTCATCTGACTTCAATGCAACAAGAATCACATTTAACACTAATAGCAACCAGTGGTCATTAAGAGATGTGTGTTTTATGCAAAACCAACAATATCAGCTCTTATAGGTGATCGACAAGAGCTGCATCACGTGTCTGTATCTCTTTATGCATATGATTTGCTTGATTGATATGTTTTGCCTAGCTGATTGTATTAGGTTCAGACTTGTGATAATTGTGGCATTCTCGTCACAAATACATGTTTCTTTGGTCATTTCTTCTCTTACTGGTTGCCTTCATCTCAGCCACCCGAGGTTCTTTATGTTAGAATGATGTGTATAATGCCTAAAATTCCCAATGCTAATTCTGTTTGGACAGACTAAAATTTCCGTACTTAAATTTTCAGTGGCATGAGTTTGAGCTGTTTATATCTCCCTGCGGGGTTGGGGTAGTCATAACACATCAGAATACATGGCTTGAACTGATTGAACTTAAAAACTTTCTTTTAGAATTGTTAATTTCCCTAATTTTGATTGTTGGTCTATTCTAGTTCTCCTTTGATAGGTCACTGGTTCATATGAAGTTCAGAAAACATGTGCGAGTAATGATAATCTTTATATGTTTTGTCCATTCAAAATCCACAGAAGGCTTACACATTTTAAATGATCAGGCATAGAATCCTAGGGTAGCAACCAAAATTTTGTTGGTATTTAGACCTCTTTTCTGAAGCTTTATGTGATAGGATTTGTTAAAAAGTAACAGAAAGGAATAATTTGTTTGCTATTTGTTTGTTCAAAAACTTTAGAAGTTGATGAAGCAAGAAGATGATAACAAAGGAAAGATATGGGGTTCCACAACTGATATGACTTTGATGTATCAATCACATTGAGAGGTAAAAAGATGCATATATTTCATCATTTTTTCTTTTCTTTGTAGAAGGAAATTTTAATTATTAGTTTTAACCCTTCTTTCCAAAAATTTCTAGTTGGTAACCATAAGTGTAAATGAATAATTTGTTTTCTATTTGTCTTATCAAAAAGTATAGAAGAGGATGATGAAAGAACATGAAAGAAGAAAAGAGAAGAAAGATATGGCTGTTGCAACTGTAATTACTTCATATGTGAATCAGCTTGAGGTAAAGGCTGGAATATTCTACTCGTCTCACTTGGTTGATCTGTTTCTGAATTTTTATTGCATTCAGCAGTTTTTCTTTAATCTTCATTTATCAGTTGATATGTGGAAAAGATACATGTACGTGGCCTGTTCAGTTATAGGAATAATTCATAATTGTCAGCATTGTGTTTATAAAGCCTAATCCAGCTGGCTTTAGCTTATTTTTTAATAATGGGCTCTCTTTTTTGTCACGTTTTTGTTGCCAATGTTGGGGATCTGTGCAGGGTTTTAGAAAGATGGATCCTGATAGATGGGAATTTGCTAACGAGGGATTCCTCAGGGGGCAAAAACATCTGCTTAAGACCATAAAAAGGAGAAGGCCACACAATCATCCTTCATTACAACAGTCTCTTAGTGCATACATCGAGGTTGGGGAATTTGGCCTGGAAAGAAAAGTAGACCGGTTAAAGCGTGATAGACATTTGTTGATGCAGGAAGTTGTAAAACTAAGGCAGGAGCAACAGAACACAAGAGCCCATCTCAAAGCTATGGAAGAGAGGCTACAACTGACAGAGCAGAGGCAACAACAGACAATGGCTTTCCTAGCTCGGCTGATGCAGAACCCCAGCTTATTACAACAGTTGCTTGACCAGAAGGAGAGAATGAAGGAGCTTGAAGAGGCCATTTCTAAGAAAAGAAGAAGACCCATCGACACAGCTCCTGAGCCTGATGATGTGGGAACGAGCGGATACCAGGAAACATATTTGCCTGTCAAAATTGAAGCTCAAGGTACACAGGACTTCTATGTTGAGGAAGTTTTGAGCTCGGATAACTTAGCAGGACAGTTCCATAGCGAGGAGCACTTGGCGCCTCATGAAAACAACACAGATGGGGAGCTGAATGACAACTTTTGGGAGGAGTTGCTAAACGAAGGACTTGGTGATGAGAAAGGTACTTTCGGTATCGAGGGGGTAGATACTGAAGATGTAAATGTCTTGGCTGATCAACTAGGCTTTCTTACTTCTACCAGCCCTAAATAGTTTGTTAAACCAGTATTTATCTAGACCTTTTGTATTTGATTGAGTTAACCACTGCTAACTGGAAACTGATGGTTCCTTTTTCCTCTTTTATATTGATATGGTTACCTATCAGCTGGGCTTGTTTCTTAAGTTTCACCAGGATCTTGAACAAAAAGCATCATTTCACATCTGTGAACTACTGATTGTCCATTTATTCACAAGAATTTTTGGCGTCTATGATCTACTTGATCAGCGTACTGTTATTCTCCTATAGATTTCCATTGTTCAGCTGATTATGTGATTGAAGATCAACCTTAGTTGTCAGCTTAAGGTATATCCTGGAAAGGTGTTCGACAAGTTTTGCTATTATCATTCTACTCCTGTTTTAGCTGGCACTTCATGCATTCCTCGAACTTTTGCACTCTCCTTGTGCTTGTAGGCAAAATTTTGAACAGTTCTTGCAATACATTTTCCCCACCATCTTCTTGTCACTGGAATCCAGTGATCCAAGCTCGCTGTCTTTGGCTAAAGATCACGACTCCTGTCTGTTGAAGTGGCATCATCTATTTCATGTTTGGATGATCTTTTTGTCATATGACAAGAACTGGTTTCCCGATTGCTGTCTGATAGGGATCCATCACAGAAACTGTAAAGATCATCAATGGTGCATGGCTACCCAAGTTCTTCCTGGATGTCTTATACATGTCATCTAATTGTTTGGCAGTGTATCAATTCATACTACCATGTTTATGCTGAACTCCACCATTGAAGGAGAGCGAAAGTATTCCTCATGTCCTTTATGTGCTGAGATGGTGTGATTATAATCAAATCGATCCTATCTGCTGTCTGAGAGTTACAGTAAGTAACATGTAACATATCATTACACCCGTCAAAACGAGTGCCACAAACTCTGCTTTGCGTCAGTGTCGCAAGCTCTCTCCGGATTCATGGGAAGAAGAAAGCCCACGTCGACGTCCCCTTCGCCTCGCTGCCAAAAGCGCACTTACTGCATCGTGCCCACCACCGACCACCACCACCCACGAGCAGACATTGCTTCCGTCTGACGAAACCTTGAACGCTTCGTCTCCATCTCTCTGGAGGCTTCGCCACCTTCCCCTGGTGGTCTCCCCGTCCACGTCGCCGCCCTGGGACATGTGAAGGTTCTGCGCTCCACGTTACGCCCGCCCCATGGCCCAGTTCTTGCAGCTCGCGTGGCCTCTCTCCGTCCACCCCTTCGTTTCAGTACTCCCTCGCCCTATATATACCTCCTTCCATGAAACCTGTCGACATAGATCTCCGAGCGTACGTCTTGCAGAGTTCCATTGCGCTCTCCAAGCTCGCAAATACCAGCCATGGCCGCATCAGCCACACTGCACTCCAACATAGCTGACTTTGCGACTCGCACCGGTCTTCCTTCCCGTGCCTTGCTGCCGTCTAGGCAAGTCGGCCGTGTCTTTCGCGTCAGGTGTCAATCTGAGGTAAGCATACGGGCGTGGGAGATTACCAATAAACTTCCTTCACACCAAAGCTCACATTTTGAGATATGAGCAGGAGCGCCCGCAGGAACCCCCGGCTGCTGTCTCGCCTCCGCCGCCGCAGCCAGTGCAGACTACTCCACCGACACCCAAGCGCAAGGTGAATACTGAACGCAATCATATTAGAGTCGAGAGAATTCGACATCAGTTTCTTCACCAGCAATTTCATGATACAGGAAAGCACGAGCTTCTCGGATATCCTAGCGTTCAGTGGGCCGGCACCGGAGAGGATCAACGGAAGATTGGCGATGATCGGGTTCGTGTCAGCCATCGCGGTGGAGCTCACGAGGGGCGACGACCTGGTGGCTCAGCTCGCGAATGGCGGGCTGCCGTGGTTCGCGGGCACCGCCGCCTTGCTTTCTGCTGCCTCCTTGGTGCCCCTGTTCAAGGGCGTGAGCGTGCAGTCCAAGTCTAGTGGCGTGATGACAGCCGATGCAGAGCTCTGGAACGGCCGCTTCGCCATGCTCGGCTTGGTGGCACTGGCTTTCACTGAATACCTCAAGGGTGGACCTCTTGTGTAAGAGCGAGCGAGCGAGCGAGAGAGAGAGAGAGAGAGAGAGAGAGAGAGAGAGAGAGAGACGTACG